TGGCAAACAAAAGAGGAAAGGAGAGGGTTAACCCTTAGTGTTAGTTATGCAAGGGCTCCTCTCTCGTTCCACCTCCACATTACTGATGAAGGATCAAAATAGAATATTGATGAGTGGGTACAAGAGCACGTAGGGGCCACCATTAGCATTAGTGTTTTGTTAAAAAGTACAAATGACACATTTATTTGATTAATTATGTTGCATTGCATAGAAGAGGAAATTTAGTAACTGTGCACTCCAGTTTTCAAACACTGAAAAATGTACATTGTCACTTGTTCTTCTGTAATTCTGATAAAATACTTAATATCTTTGTCATTTTTATTTACTAGAGGTTTTTATTCACAGATTATGATAAAGTCAATTGCACTTTTGAAGATGGCTTTTGTTACTGGATACAAGATTTAGATGACGATTCAGACTGGGAGAGAGTTCAGGGCCCTACCTTTCCCTTTATGAGTGGTCCTGATTTTGATCATACATTTGGCAACCTGTCAGGTAAGTTCAAACACAGGTTACTTACAGATAGAAGAAAAACCTTGATTTAGCTTATTTTATACCACTGTACAATGAATTCTTCATAGTGGCATTATTGGGGTGTAATTTAATTCTGCCATAAAAATGAGTCAGCACTACCAGACAAAATGTTTTATGCTACCGATTGTCATCTTGTGAAAATATACCAAGACTAAAAAAAGAAATTAAAGAATACATAAAACGAATAAAGTGTGAAGTATTGAAAAGCTTCAATGTTATTGATATTCCAAAGTGCCTTATCTGAGCCAGGAATTTCTATTATACAACAGTGTTATAGGTCAAATAACTGCATGTTTACGTTAAGGAAAAAAACATGTATATTTACATTTGGGGGAAATTACTTGAATTTCTTCCCTATCTACTGGTAACATCCTCTTGGTTGTCACAGGATAATTTTTATTTAATATAAAGTTGACCTGCACAGTATGTAAGGCATCTGTGTCCCCAGTCAGAATCACACACCAAACACATTAATTTTCAACTCGTGCAAAACATACCAGCAACTGCTATACTAAAGCAATTTAACTGGAAGAGAGATCATATCAAATGTGGGTTTCAATTAAAAAGACATTATTCATAGAAATCAGATTTTGAATGTGTGTCATGAATGCTTATCCCAGAATTAGACTCCAAAATTTTTTTTCTGCTTCAACAGAACCAAACAATCTCTTTCCCAGCTGACTTGTTAGTCTAGCTAAAACTAATTGGCATAATTTGAGTTTGAATGGTTCTATGTATTCTATGTAACACTTGTACAAAACTTATTCAGTGAAAAATAACTAGAAAAATTGCAAATTATTCCTAGAGAAGTTACTTCCAGGAAAGGTTGTTATTGAATAGAAATTATTCCCCTCTCTCTGAGTAAATGCACATCTTCTAAACAATCTTCAGAATACTGTTTTATCTTCCCACTTGACTCCTATAATACAAATCACAGAATCTCTGAATCATTAAGGTTGGAAGAGACCTCTAAGATCATCAAGTTCAGCCATCAACCTAATATCACCATGCCCACTAAACGATATCCTGAAGTGCCACATCCACATGCTTCTTGAACACCTCCAGGGATGGTGACATCCAATCTAAACCTCCCTGGTGCAACTTGAGGCCACTTCCTCTTGTTCTTTCACTAGTTATATGGAAGAATAGACCAACACCCACCTCTCTGCAACCTCCTTTACAGCAGTTTTAGAGAGTGATAAGGTCTCCCCTCACTCTTCTCCAAACTAAACAATCCCAGCTCCCTCAGCTGCTTCTCATAAAGCTTCTTCTCCAGACCCTTCAGCAGCTTTGTTACCCGTCTCTGGACACACTCCAGTGCCTCAATGTTCTTCTTGTAGTGAGGAGTCCAAAACCAAAAAAACCTGAAAAACAGTATTCATGGTCTGACCTCACCAGTGCTGAATCAGGGGCACAATCACTTCCCTACTTCTGCTGTCCACACTATTTCTGATACAAGCCAGGATGCAATTGGTCTTCTTGGCCACCTGGGCACACTGCTGGCTCATGTTCAGTCGGCTGTCAACCAACACCCCCAGGTCCTTTTCTGCCTGGAAGCTTTCTAGCCACTCATCCCCAGGCCTGTAGCGCTGCATGGGGTTATTGTGACAGAAGTGCAGAACCTGGCACTTGGCCTTGTTAAACCTCATACTATTGACCTCAGCCCATCAACCCAGCCTATCCAGGTCCCTCTGTGGAGCCATTCTATCTTCGAGCAGATCAACACTCCCTCCCAACTTAGTGTCTGCAAAGTTACTGAGGGCGCACTCAATCTCCTCATCTCAACCATTGATAAAGATGTTAAACAGAACTGGCCCCAAGATGTTAAACAGAGCCTTGGTGAACACCACTTGTGACTGGCCACCAACTGGATTTAGTTCCATTCACCACAATTCTCTGTGTTTGGCCGTACATCCAGTTCTTAACCGAACAAAGAGTAAATTTGTCCAAGCCATTAACTGCCAGCTTCTCTAGGAGAATACTGTGGGAAACTGTGTCAAAGGCATTACTTAAGTCCAGGTAGACAACATCCACAGCCTTTCCTTCATCCACTAGATGGGTCACCTGATCATAGAAGGAAACCAGGTTGGTCAGGCAGGACCTGCCTTTTATAAACCCATGCTGGCTTAGCCTGGTCCCCTGGTTGTCCTGTTCATGCCATGTGAGCATACTTAAGATGAACTGCTCCGTAATCTTCCCTGGTACTGAGGTCAGCCTGACAGACCTGTAGTTCCCTGGATCCTCCTTACAACCCTTCCTGTAGATGGCATCACATTGGCAAGCTTCCAGTCATCTAAGACCTCCCCAGTGAACCAGGACTATTGATAAATGATGGAGAGTGGTTTTGCAAACTCTTCTGCTAGCTCCCTCAGTACTCTTGGGTGGATCCCATCTGACCCCATGGACTTGTGGGTGTCCAGGTGGCATAGCAGGTTATTAACTACTTCCTTTTGGATTACGGGGCGTTTATTCTGCTTTCTGTCCCTGTCTTCTAGCTCAGGGGTCTGAATAACTTGAGAATAGCTGGTCTAACTACTAAAGACTGAGGCAAAGAAGCCATTAAGTACTTTAGCCTTTTCCTTGTAAGCCCCCCTGCCGCATCCACTAAAGGATGGAGATTCTCCTTGGCTCTCATTTTGTTGTTAATATACTTGTAAAAATATTTTTTTTATCTTTTATGACAGTGGCCAGACTGAGTTCAAGCTGGGCTTTTGTCTTCCTGTGTTTCACTCTGCATGATCTAACATGATTCCTGTACTCTTCTTGTGTTGCTTGCCCTTTTAAAAGTGATATGCTCTCCTTTTTTTCTGGAGTTCCAGCAAAAGCTCCTAGCTCGGCCAAGTCGTTTTTCTTCCCCGACGGTTCATCTTATGGCACACGGAGATGGTCTGCTCCTGTGCCTTTAAGACTTCTTTCTTCAAGAAAGTCCAGCCTTCCTGGACCCCTTTGCCCTTCAGGACTGTCTTCCAGGGGACTCTCTCTGCCAGTGTCCTGAAAAAGCCAAAGTCTGCCCTCCTGAAGTCCATGGTGGTGCTTTTGCTGACCCCCCTCTTACTTCACCAAGAATCAAGAACTCTCTAAATTCATGGTTGCTAAGCCCAGGATGGACTCTGACACCACATCTCCCACCAGTCCTTCTCTGTGAACAGCAAGTCAAGTGAGGCACTTCCCCTGCTAGGCTCTCTTGTCTGTTGTGTCAGGAAGTTGTCTTTCACTCACTCCAGGAACCTCCTACACTCTTCCTCTCTGCCGTGTTGTATCTCCAGCAGACATCTGGTAAGTTGAAGTCTCCCACAGGAACAAGGGCTAGCGATTGTGATACTTCTAGCTGCTTGTTGAATGCTTCATCTGCCTCTTCAACCTGCTTGGGTGGTCTATAATAGACTCCCAACAGGATGTCAGCCTTTTTAGCCTTCCCCCTCACCCTTACCCATAAGCACTTGACCTTGTCATCACAATCATTGAGCTCTACACAATCAAAACACTCCCTAACATACAAAGCCACCCCACCAACTCTCCTTCCTTGCTTATCCTTTCTGAAGAGTTTGTAGCCATCCATTGCAGAAATCCAGTTGTAAGGGCCATCCCACCATGTTTCTGTGATGATGACTAGGTCATAGCTATCCTGCTGCTGCTGATTTCCAGCTCCTCTTGTTTATTGCCCATACTACGTGCATTGATGTAGATGCACTTGAGTTGGGTTATAGATTTCACTCCCAACACTGGCATGCCACCTCTAGGTTCATCTCTAGTGAGCCTGGTATTATCGCTTTCTCCCTTTGAACCTAGTTTAAAGCCTTATCAATGAGCCCTGCCAACACATGCACCAGGACCCTTTTACCCCTTTGAGGAAGTTGAATTCTGTTTGTCTCCAGAAGGCTCGGGGCTGCATAAACCTCCACAAGACAAAAAAAACAACCACAGAATTCCACCGATGGCACCATCAGCTGACTCATGTGTTAATATGGTGTCTTTTCTGGTTCCTAGCAGTATTCTTTTTTGCCACTGAAGAGACTGAGGAAATTACTCCCAATTCTTCAACCAATCGCCCTAGTGCCCTGAAGTCCCTTTGGATTGCCTTTGGAATTCATCACACAACCTCATCACTACCAACTTGAACAACTAATAGCAGATAATAATCAAGAGGCAGTACCAGACCAAGGAGTTTCCTAGTAACATCTCTAACCCAGGCCCCAGGGAGACAGCAGCCTTCCCTGTGGGATGGGTCTGGTCAGCATACTGGACCCTCTGTTCCCCTCAGAAGGGAACAACAATTATCTTCCTTTTTTTTCTTAACTGAGGCAGTCATAATACGTGCTCCCATTGCTCTTGATCTCTTAAGTCCCTTCCTTCTGCTTGGTGGCAAGAGAGTAGGAGATCCTCTTTCTTGTGGAGCCTCCAACACCTGCCTTTGCCTCAGGGTGCGGCTCCACCAATCATCTCACTCTCACATTCCCTGATACTTTTTAACCTTTTGACCTCCTCTTTTAGCTCAACAAATAGGTTGAGCAGATCATTTTCCTGTTCATACTGCACACAGGTGTTGTCACTTCTGACCTCCTGTACGAGTGACAGACTCAAGCACTCCCTGCAGCCAGAGACCTGGACAGATGCATCTTTGTATAGGAGCTCCATCTGAGTCACCACACTTCTCCTGGTGATGGCTTTTGGCTGAGTTGTGACCATGTTTATTCCTCTTCTGGGAGGGCAATGCCCACTAGTCAAATCAGATGGAAGACTTTAAAATTTATTTAATAAAACACTTGAAAATGATTTCTATCTCTCTGAAATGCTCATTTATTTCAGGTGCTCTTTGTTTCTCTGTGCTAGATCTAAGCTAATGTGTGTAATTTTGCTATATATAATGTTGCTATTATATTGAATATTCAAATTTCTGCAACCTGCATTTGAAGTAAAAATGTGAGCTGCATCATTAATATCTAGTTATTATATACATTCCATGAGAAAGAGTATTTTTATTTTGTTACTCTTGAAAAACAAAGGACTTAATACATACTCAAAAATTGATTCTGAATGCTCAGAGAATTGATGAAAGACAGAGAACTCTTACTTTGACTATATGAAGATATTTTCTGAAAAAAAAAGCTATGCTCATTTTCTTAAAGCTAGACACCATGTATATTTGAATGCATGCTTTCTAGGGCAACACAGGAAATTAAAACCCTGATTCTGATTTCAGACTGATTTTAATGTACTTTATCCTCCCACATGAAAAAGTTAGGTATAAATAACAAAATATAGTATATATAATTGAAATTATATAATTATTTTTTTATTTTTAGGTTCTATTAATATAATATTAGCATATATCTGAATTAGAGACAGAGAAATAATAAAATCTAAGATTACAGTCATGATTTCAACAAAGGAAGAATTTTACTTTAGGACTTTGAGCTCTGCCTAATTTTGCTTTTCTTGTGACAAATCACAATGCTTATGTAGCCTGACCTCACATTATATTTCCATATGGCAGCAAGAAGTCCAAATTCTCAGCTGCAAGGGATTAACTTAGAAAGAGCTAAAATTCCAATTTCCCCAAATAATTTTTCTTGTTTCTAATGCTGCCTCTTGCTATAAAATATTCACGTAGTCATTCTCTCACCCCTCTTAAAACACAACCCATATTTTCCGTTATTGTGTGGATAAAAACTATAGAAATGTCAGGACATTCTTCTGCAAAATTACAAGCAGTGTCAAACAGGAAAACATTTTTATAATTAACGAGTAATCTTTCATGTGAATTGCTGCCTTCACTAAATAAAAGGCAGATCTCCCACTGACTTCAAAAGGGTTAGTTTCCCACTTCATGTCTAGTTCTGAGGAGTGTCCAGCAAGCTTAAATGATGAATATAACTTGGGATAATCATTCACATTTATTGTGTCAGGAGTCTTTCAACTCATGCAACACTATCTGTGCTTGATATTATTGACATTATTTTAAACAAAAAACCTCTAATTTAAAAAATTAAATCCATAATTCTGTACTGACTAAACTGTGTTCATTATCTTGCAGGGTTTTATATTTCCACACCCACAGGACTTGGATTCGGAGAAGAGAGAGTCCGGATTCTGAGTTTGCCTTTGGTCTTTTCAGATCCATTCTGCCTAAGCTTTTGGTAATCTTACATAATTCTAAAACATATATTTGTTTAAGAATAAAGCCAAATAACTTTCTTTCATAAATAATATTAATTCAAGTCAGTGTGGCAGCAATACAAGCCTGCTTCTGTTTGGATTTCCATGATCAGTCTCAATGCCAAGCCTGAAACTTTGACTTCTTTATGGGTTTGAGTCTTGCAGTTAGCTTTAATATTTTCTTTTTAAACCTGCATCCAGTATTCGTTTCTATACAGAAATTATATTAAGAACCCCTGAAATGTTTTTTGTCCTGAAGCTTAACTAGGCCTATGCAGAAAATACAGAAAGCACCAAGTAAATCTTCTAGGTGTAGTAGAAACATACTTTTTTTTATTTCATTCTAACTGCAAAGTAGCCCTAATTCCTTAAAACTATCTATAAAATAAAAAGCTTGATATTTTTAAATGAAATTTCGCTTTGTTCTGATAATACTTAAATTGCTTTTCCTCCCTCTAGGTATTTCATGTACGGTCCTAACGTTTACCGTTTAAGAGTTAGCATAAGTAATGAGGACGGTTTGGAAAAGATCATTTTCCAGAAAGAAGGAAGCTATGGAAACAACTGGAATTATGGACAAGTAACTTTAAATGAAACATCTGATTTTAAGGTTTGTTAAACTGCTAGTTCTTTTCAACATTTATTTTAGCTAAACTGATATCAGAATTTTATGCTAAATGAACCCAATGATCCACAGCTCTAAACATAATATCTATTTACCATTGCATACCACCAAATAAATATTAGCATGCAGAAGATTGGAATCCTCATTTGAATTGTCACCCCCCTCTTTCCTGCTCTTGAAACTGCAGAAAACAGAAAACATTAACTTTATCATGGGACAATCAATGTTATCACAAAAGATAGCTTTCCACAAAAAAAAGTGTTCAAAGCATATGTTCAAACCATATCTGATGTGGAGTTTAATATCCAGTGATATTGATAGTGATATGAATCACTTAGATATAAGAAGATTTAAACTAAATAATTTCAGGTTCTGAAGTATTTTCATTAATTAATTACACAATAGTTCATGAAAGTGTGTTACAGATAGAAATGTATTTGGTACCCCATGGTTAACAACTGACCTGACTTATCTGTAAACAAAAGGATGCTTATGCTAGACTTCAGCAACTCTCTATTGAAAGCAATTTATTTTTATAGGTATTTGGGATGGCTTGTCTTGCCATAGTAGTTTTGATTGATCCAAGTCACTGCCAGAAAGATGCATTTACCATTTGAGGAAGTAAAAGCATCTGTGATCTGGCTGCATCAGATTTCCAGCAAATGTATGCTTGATGATCTCAGAAACAATACTATACCTAGCTGTATTTCACCAGCAAAAATTCATTGGTAGCAGGATTGCTTTACATATATGGATACTAAAGCACAATAACAAACAAATGAGATTCATTTCAATTTTTCATGGAAATATGCCAATAGATCAGAAGAAGTTTGAACTGATGAGTGATACAGAATTTGTCTTTCAAAAATTACATTAATTTATATATAAATGTAAAGTTACTGAATAGTTTTAAATAATGTTCATCATTTATATGAAGAAGTTCCTGCATTCCTTAGAATGATCCACTTGGTTTTCAAAGTGCTGTTTTGTTTTGTTTTGTGAGGAATCCTGTCTCAACCCTGGTGCCGTCCTCTGAGTGTAGCACCAGTGTAGATTACAGTGGAAATAAGAGCATTCAAGAAAGAAGACTGACTCTTTCAGCATAGGAAGCTGAAAAATGTTTCATTAAATTATGAAATTATATTTATTTTCATGAACTCCAGGTTATTTTTGATGCTTTTAAAAAACGTGGTGCCAGTGATATCACCTTGGATGACATTAGCCTGACTAAAGGAAAATGTAATGAAAGTATTTACATAGAGCCAACTGTGATTCCAGCTGTTACCACTGTCCCTTCAACTCCCAGTAAGTAAACACTAAATTACAGTTGATTGCCATTTAGAATTACTGTATTTGCGTATGAGTGATACAGAATTTTTGACCTTCAGTTTTATAAAAACGTCTCTTCATCATGATAATATTTTCTGCAGGATAACATACTAGGGATGAGGTTCCCTGCCCAAGACTCCACTGGTAGCAACAGAACTGGTAGATTCACAGCTTAAGCTATCAGAACAGTATATTCCAAAAGTTAAAGAGTGGAGGATAATTAAGGAATTCAGAATTTGTCTCTGAAAGCTTTAATTAGTAAATCTTTCAGGAAGCCACTGAAGGGGAAGAAAGACGAAAGAGAAGGAAGATTATAACCTCTATATTTGAAATTATAAGCAATGTAGAAGGGGAATAAGAGAATGAGCAAAGTCACGTAATAATATCACTAGAGGACTCAGTAGTAAAAATTCACCAAGCTCTGAGAACACATGCACACTGAAGAATCTCATGTTTAGGGAAATGATTCTATAAATAGTGCCTGAATGGTTTAAGAATGGAGCATGATCTATGTGAGTGTTTAATACCCAAAATGGAGGTATTATCTGGAACAAGGCTCACTATGAATGAGTTCTTTCTGATATACAATTGTCTGCATTGTTATTCCTACTATATCTGTTACATTAAAAAAAAATGCAATATTTACATTGAAAAAAATTGAAATGGGGCAACAGGATGAAAGGACAGTTAACATTCTGGTTTTGAATGAAATGAGCGGTTAAAAAATAAAACCAACAAAGGATTCTTTCCACTCCTTGATCTAATAAAAGGTTTCAATATTTGCATAAATTATAGAATGTATCAATGATTTCTTCAACTTTGCCTTTGTTTACTCCTTGTGGTAAGGCAGGAGTGATGAATGGGTGCTTCCTCTAGTAATAATGGATGGGGGCAGGGTTTTTCTGCTGGATGGGTCCTTATTTCATCTCACTATTTTCTTGGCCCCTCTTCTGAATTGCAAGTTCAGTGGGCAGCTGGAGGAGGGTTGGTTTTGTTTGCACATTTTTGCCATCTTATCCGAGTCAAGTAGAAGTTAAAGAAACATGAAGTGTCTCTACCTCTAGTGCATATGCACTTCTCCAAACAGGTGGCACAGTTTGATCCAGACCCATCACATTGCAGAATCTTTTAGAGGAAAGCACAGAGATTTAAGCTTCCTCTAAACATTCCAGTTTCACAGAGCAAGTTAGAAGAATCTCACTGAGTAAAATATGAAAGAATACCTGTAGCCACCATTGTAAATCTAGAAAATGTATATAAAACAATGAAGAAAGATTACATATGATGTTAACCACGTCCACGTACATTCAAAGCAAAAACTGGTACAAATATGAATAGAGATTGAGGAAAAAAATCATTAAAATATCTGGTAGGACTATGTAATTTATTGTGAGAGAGGCATGAACTTTTTATGAAAAAAGAGATTTCTACAAAAAACCTGTTCACAAGAGGCTTCAAATAATTACAACAAATAGTAAGTATGTTCCAGGACTGTCTCCTATTAGATTTATTGTCATTTACAAAGCACACTTACTTGCTCTCTTGACAGCATATAATAAGTAAAAATGCTCTAAAATTAAAATAATAGAAAAAGACTTTTTGCATTGTATTCATGTTGAAGCACTGTGTACTAATATTGCCATTCTATCAAATCTATCATCTCTAAATCTACTGCATCAGGACAGGTAAGAAAACAAAATCTTCAAAATACAAGCACAAAATTCTGTTTTAGAGCTCCATCCTTAAACACAGGATGGTAAAGTTCAACAAGATGTCCCTTCAGCAAAATAAAATTTTAATAACATTAGTCATTTCAGTCATAAGTTACCAAAGTGAGTTCTGTGCAAAAGACAAAAGCAAATTCAGCTTGCTATCCCACCACCAATTTTTTTTATTTTTTTTTTAACTTTTCAAGGAACTTTTGACACATTGTAATTGATGCCAGTGCCTCTTACTGAAGCAAGCTAAACTAGCTCAGCTCTAATTCTTTCATCTCTCATTTACTCACATGACATTTGTAGTGCTAGTAAACATTAGTGCTAGTAAACTTGCACCACATCCATCAAAGAAGTAATTTCATACTTCTTTGAAGATGATTGATAACATTCACTTTTTTCCAGCAGGTTACAGATATTCTATGTGTAGCATGCCTCAACGAAATTATGCAAACAAGTTTTTTATCCTCAGCAACAGCTTAGACTGTGCAGTATTGAAAGACAGTATGGATCCTCTCTAATCTGCTTTGCAAAGAACTATATAGCACATGAACTCTTCCTTTTTTTTTAATACTGAAACTTTATCACTGTATTTTGGGTAGACATCTATAGTTTGAATGACATTTCTTTGGTGTTTTGACAGAAGCATTCAGCTACTATTTACCACAGTGTTGTACTACTACTAATCATTAGACCAATGATAACTTGTAAGGTGGGTTTACCCACAGCATCTGATGGCTAGAGGTGGCAGACATCAGCACCTCTCCAGAGTACTACTTTAATGAAAACTGCAATTGAAGTCCAAATTTGCATAATTTCATTGAGGCATGCTACACATAGAATATCTGTTTATCTACTGAAAAAAGTGAATGTTATCAATCATCTTCAAAGAAGTATGAAATTTCTTTGATGGATGTGATGCAAGTTTACTAGCACTAATGGTTTCACTACAAATGTCATGTCAGTAAACAAGAGATGAAAGAATTTGAGCTCAGCTGGTTTCTTTTGCTAGACTTAAAGCTTCAGTAAGAGGCACTGGCATCATTTACAATGCATCAAAAGCTCATTGAAAAATAAAAAAAAAATACGATTTGGTGGTGGGATAGCAAGCTGAATTTGCTTTTGTCTTTTGCACAAAAACGTTAGCTTACACTTTCATCTAGAACAAAGACTGCTTTCATCTTCATATTCATTTACAACCTGCCTTTCAACACAAACAACAGTGTTGAAATTACAGTGTAGATTACACACTTAAAACATGTATGTCAATATAAATTAAAGTTTTGGTCAAAGCACAGAGAAATTTTTTAATGAATAGGTCATATATAATTTTCTACAGTGCTGAGAAGATCATCTATTGTTCTCAATGAAAGGACCGAGAGTATTTGTGCTGATTGCTTTTTGGTTCTTTAATGAGTGAGAGCTATACAAACAACTCCATATAAATTTGTGTACAAAAATCACTGGAAATTTTTAAAACATTTTTTCCACATGAGTAAAATCAATTACTCCTATCATTTTTCCATTAAAGAGGAAGAACATTAATAATAGTGTCTTACATGTAGTCAACACCAGATCAGATTTCATCATAAATTGCCCCTGTTATGCCATTAAGTGATTTTATTAAATAGAAAGTTATATAAAATGGCTGTCATGAGAAAGTTCAAACCTTTCTTTTATTTAGTGGAGCTTCCTTCCAGTGAAATTCAATGGGCAAGTAAGACTTGTAGATTATGCAGTCCCCAGACAAGTGTCTCAGAGTATGCAATACTGACAGACATAATGACATGCAAAATTTGAGCCATAAGGAGGACAGAGCAAGGGCAATGTTAAAGTTTAGGCAAAGTCTGAAAGCTAATATCAAAGCAAAATTTTAAAAGGTAGATTCCTTCTGTCTTAACTTCTATTTCCTGAAGCAGGTGTAGGAGCACTGTTTCTTTCTTTAATAAAAAAATTGCAAGCAACAGAAGTGGAAAAAGATCAAAATTCATTCTAATGGTACACTTGAAATGAAAATAAATACTGTTTCTCAATATGAAGTAAAGTTCTGGAATATGAAGCTGACATATTGAAGATGTAAACCACCAGTATGGTTAGCTATGTCTGAGTGTGTTATTCATTTTTATGTATAAAGGCATATTCATGTTTACGGTAAAGACTTTTCTTCTTGGAACAGTTGTTTCAAGGAAAAACAAGTGGCTAATTTTACCATTTACAAGGTTACACTAAAAGCTTTTGATGAAATAAAAATAACAGTGAGTTATTTTTTGATATAAAGTTTATTTGCTATATTAGAAAAATAGACTTTATACTTGAGTATCTCTAGTAATGCTGCGAGATCAATCAGATAATAAGTAAGGTATATAAGCTAAGCACACAAATACGTTATATTGTGGGAAGGGGGGCTTCCCTCTGACATTTTCTAGCTTTTGTATTAATGTACTAGTAAATTATACAATTGACTGTATCACATTTTTTTCTTCATATTTTCTGTCATGTGCATAGCATGCAGACCAACAATCACCAAATGAAGGACAGGCTGTGTCCTTTAACTATGTGGGGAAAACTTCCCATAGCACCATCATGAATCTAGTTGTGCATCTAGGCACTAACACTTCACAAACTACAATATATAAATTATATCTGTAGATAACACTATGGCACTGAGTGTATATGTCAGCAGGTCTGACTTAGACACTGTAACTAATAAGGACAGTGAATTTCTTACATACTTCTTCCTCAACACTCTGTGTACTTACTGATGTGTTGGCTTCTCACAACTCACTGTTTAAGCTTTGTACAAGTGGCACAGTAACTGAACCCTTGCAGTGGTGAAGTTAGCCTGAATGCTCTCATCATAAAATAACTTTTCAAAATTATCTTTGTTACAACAGACTGCAAAAGTAAGACAATCAGTTAATTATGTTTTTTAAATGTTTTCTTTTTCAGCTGACTGTGGAGGGCCAGTTGAACTCTGGGAGCCAAACAGCACATTCAGCTCTGAAAACTTTCCAAACAATTATCCTAATCAAGCTTCTTGTAAGTCATTTTTCTCCAAGTTTTAAGGAAAAGATTAGCCATATAAAAGTAGAGATACTAAATCTGCTGTCCCAAGTCAGATGCTGTCAAGCAAAAAAAGATCAAAGCTATATACAGTGGAGTATTTTAAGTGAAGTCTATATAACTCTTAGCAACAGCTAAGGAATCATGTGCCAGTTGATTAAAAAGTGATGAAGACAAGTACCAGTCACAAACGGTGTTCCCCAGGGCTCGGTTTTGGGGCCTGTCCTGTTTAACATCTTTATCAATGATATGGATGAGGGGATTGAGTGCTCCCTCAGCAAGTTTGCAGATGACACTAAGTTGGGAGGAAGTGTTGATCTGCCTGAGGGTAGGGAGGCTCTGCAGAGGGACCTGGGTAGGCTGAATCAATGGGCTGAGGGCAATTGTATGAGCTTCAACAAGGCCAAGTGCCGGGTCCTGCACTTCGGTTGCAATAACCCCATGCAGTACTACAGGCTTGGGGACAAGTGACTGGAAGGCTGCCATGCAGAAAAGGACCAGGCGGTGTTGGTGGACAGTACGATGATCATGAGCCAGCAATGTGCCCTTGCGGCCAAAAAGGCCAATGGCATCCCGGGGTGTATCAGGAGGGGTGTGCTTAGTAGGTTGAGAGAGGTTCTCCTTCCCCTCTGCTCTGCTTTGGTGAGACCACATTTGGAATATTGTGTTCAGTTCTGGGCCTCTCAGTTCAAGAAAGACAGGGAATTGCTTGAAAGAGTCCAGCGCAGAGCCACAAAGATGATCGAGGGAGTGGAGCATCTCCCTTATGAGGAGCGGCTGAGGGAGCTGGGTCTCTTTAGCTTGGAGAAGAGGAGTCTGAGGGATGACCTCATTAACGTTTATAAATTTGTAAAGGGTGAGTGTCAGGAGGAAGGAGCCAGACTCTTCTCAGTGATAGCTAATGACAGGACAACTGGCAATGGGAGCAAGCTGGAGCATAGGAGGTTCAATCTGAATATGAGGAAAAACTTTTCTACTGTGAGAGTGATAGAGCACTGGAACAGGCTGCCCAGAGAGGTTGTGGAGTCTCCTCTGGATACTTTCAAAACGGTCCTGGACGCGTTCCTGTGCAACCTACTCTAGGTGATCCTGCTCTGGCAGGGAGGTTGGACTGAATGATCTTTCGAGGTCCCTTCCAACTCCTAATATTCTGTGATTCTATGATAATCCCTTGTAATGTGTTCAGACAAGCCAGTTCCATCATGCCTGTTATGTCAAGTATCTTTATGTCAATGCAACCACAGACAAGGTACTGAAAGTCCCCATTTTATCATGTATTTGCCACGTTAATCTCATAATCTCTTCTGATAAATAGTTAACCTTTTCTAGGGGCAAAGAATGTGTGAAAGCACTTAGCAAGGCATGCTCTCTTTATTGACAGTTTCTTCAAACACTTTTGAAAAGACAACATTATTCTAATAATGTTCCTTGATTTAGATTAAGCTACAGCTGGCAAAAGGGAAAATATTTCAAGGCAGTCCACATTTGATGGATGAAGCAAGAAAGAGAACTTTGTCACTGCTTCTTAATGAAATTTTAATTATTTATTACTTCACCTTTTACTGGAGAATTGTGTTGCGATGCTAATCAAAAGAGATGTAATTTTGTTTTTCTGTCCCACTTGAGATATGGCATTCATTTCCAGGTATTAATTTCACAAGTTCTCAGATGAGATTCCTCCTAGTGTGAAAATGCTTTTTGTTCCATGAACAGATTAAAAAAATGGTTTTGTTGTTTGGTTGGCTTTTTTTTTAACTTTCTTTACAAGATTTCCATAATATCCATACTTATATAGATTAAATATGATAAAGCACAGACTAAACAGAAGAAAACATTTCTTCTCTAAAAAGACATTTGGCTTGAAAGGCTTTCTGTGAGTGGTTATAGAAATTATCTTACTATCAAATAAGACTTAAGTGACAAGACTATTTGTCACATTTTCACAGTTACTAAAGAATTAGCTTTGCTATTTCAGGGAAATTCACTGTTGTCATGCATGGTAAAAAATGCATGCAGGTATATCTTACAATCCTAAATCCAATTTTAAAAAGTGTTGTACAAAATGAGAGTCAATTGAATTTTGTACCTTGACAGCGTAAATAGCTTTTAAAGATAAGATTTAGACTTCTAAGTCTCTTGGGTGATTCTTAGTAGTTTACTAGAGATTTTTTTTTCACTTTAATTCCTTCAACATGAAAGTGACACTGTAAATGTAACAACTGAAAAGGTGAATGTCTTTGTGTGTGTTATTATTTTCTAGGTGTGTGGTACTTAAATGCTGAAAAGGGAAAAAATATTCAGCTTCATTTTCAAGTTTTTGATCTGGTAGATATTCATGACGTAGTTGAAGTCAGAGATGGCAGAGGACCAAATTCCTTACTTTTGGGCAAGTAACAGCATTGAATACTAAGATGAATGTAGTCAAACAGCTGGAGCAAACTGATGAATATAATACAAAGGAAATTAATTCTCCCTAACTTCATTCTACATTTCTTCACATTTTTGGGTCTCAGAAATTGGGAGGAAAACTTGAGAAAGCATACTGTGTGTGGCATCACATTTCCAAAATGTTTGCATGCATACAGTTTTCTATGCAATCCAAATGAAATTAACTTCTCAATAAATAAGACTGCTCATGTACATGCACAAACAGAAGCATAATCTCTTAACCAAAACTTATTGTTCTATACTTATGTGTCAAATTTGGAGTTGAGCTTTGATCACTGCAGTCTGATAGCAGTCAGGTTTGGGAAAATAGCTGTATTCATGTGGTAACAGTATTTGCTTTTGAAGTCAAAACATTTTGAAATACTTAAGAACAAAATAGCTTTAATATATTCATGTTCTTCTGGAGAATAGCTATCTATACAGGACAAGATCCATTGCCAGATGTCTTCTCTACAACAAACCAGATGACAGTAATCCTCCTTACAGACAAGTCTGCAACAAGGAAGGGATTTCTTGCAAACTTTACTACTGGCTACCATCTAGGTAAGCATATGAACCCTTGTATTTCAGAGGTTATACCACTGGTCAAATAAATCTCAGAAAAAGTGGAGAGTGGAAGGTGACTCTCAGCCCTTAAAAAGTCTAGCTGTTACCCATCTGTACTTTATGTTTTCTAGCATGAAAAGTGATGTTTTTGTTGCTTTAGTGTAATTGGACTAATATCTGTATCACCCGCAACTCTGTGTGATATTATGCTACAAATTGACTCAGTATTTTGACCGAAAACCATTCAAATATTAAGAGGGCAAATAAGAACTATTCCCTATAAGAGCCACAGAAAAGAACATTGAGGATGTCATTAATGTGTGTTTAAATGTATTTGTAAAATATTTGTAATCAATCACATCCAATAGAAGAGAAAAATGTATATGGTAATTCTGATTTATATTTGCAATATGATACTTCTTGCATCTTTAAAAATCTGTGAATTCAGCATGTGAAAGATCTGGAAAAGATTAGTCTTTTAAATAGTTGGACAGCAGTGATTCTGGTCACAGCCAGTCTCCTTCTGAAAAGACCCTGGTTTTGCTGAGGACTGCAATTATACTTGTTACTCATTTAAGTAATTCAACAATCAGCTCTCCAAAAACAGAGAAAATGGAGCCAAATGCTCAAGTATGTGGAACAGCAATGTGCTTACCAGGACAAATACTCACACTAACTCGAGGCCAAATCTTAATGTAATTAATTAGAGGCTTTGTATTACTTCTGTGGAAGTCTGACAGCAGGAAAAAAAAAAAAAAGAGAGAGCGATAAAGAAAAAGCAGTATGTATTCAGAGATGTGTGAAGCATTATTCATATGCAAGAACAGAAAGGCAACAAGAATCTATAATCTTTCACTTACTTTAAATATCATAAAAGGCAAGTGTCTCCCAGCATCTTTATCTAGCTGCAGCTTTTTTATAGATTAACAGTAATGATAATAATATTAATATTCTTAATCTGTAAAAAATTTTCAACTATCAATTTATCTTTGTAAAATCAATTTCCTTTAGTCCCCTTGTGCAAACCTGAGAGGTAGGTTTATATGGACATATGACCATTTTGCTACTTCTTGTTCTGACTTCTCTATCAGATTTGTTCAGTTCAACAACACTATGTCTTTTTTTCAGCTGGTTCAGCACCAGCTTTGCCCATAAGGTTTTGTAAAATAAAAATAAAGCTTAGCAAGGCAGAGTTCTCACAGTGGCCATTGCCAGTTCTGTTAAATATATTAAAAATTTTCCAACTGCAAAAATATTATGCTTATCCATGATCTTTGCAGCCAAAGGACAGAGACTAATATCATTAGCATGCAGACTCAAAGATAAAAGGATTATAAGTAAATTAATTTTACAAGAAAAGCAGATTTTTTCCTTTGCATTTTGTTTTTCCATATAATATTGAGTTTTTTAAAATGAAGCATAATTTGAGAAGAAATACTTCTTGACAGTATGCAATATAATGAGAACTAAGCTTTATGTAAAATCTGGCATCAGTTATGGCTACTGAATGTGTGAAAATCTGCTTCAGACCTTTTGTAAACTGCATTCTTTTGCTTCTGTATTGTACAACAGTACATAATGACTGATCATTTTATATGAATATTAAAAATTCAGAAGAAAAGTAATTATCTTGCCTTAAATAAGACTTCTAGATAATTAAATCTTGTAGTCAGTAAATCTAGGAAGGTAAAATAAAGAAAACAGTTTTTCAATTGAATTCATAGAATCATAGTCATAGAATATCAGGTTGTAAGGGACCACAAGGATCACCTAGTCCAACCTCTCAAGGTAAAAGTATAGTTTAAATGAGTTGAGTCAGCACCCTGTCAAGCTGACTCTTAAAACTGACCAGTGTAGGGGAATTTACCACTTCCTCTGTGAGATTATTCCAATGTCTGATTGATCTCATCATTAAAAAAGTTCTTCTGAAGTTCAGTCCAGAAAGCTGGACTGTATATTTCCTGTAAATATATTGAATGTTGCCATTAAAATTACCTTTTGGCCATGGAAAGAATTACAATTTTATAGCATAATCCTACTTTTGCAAATGCTTTCCTCATTCATTTCTGTTACTTTTGTCTCTTCCGTCTTCTTTTCCTTCTCAGACAGGTTTCAAAAGGAGATTCTTGGCTTTCAATGCCTCTATACTTGTATGTTTGCCCTGACTTACTTTAGGGTCTCTAAACTTCTCTGAAAGTGCTGAACATCTGGAACTTGAAATCTTTAGTCACTTTTGACAGGATTTCAGAAGGATTTGACTTTTCTCATCCCTCCCAATTTTATTACATGTAATAGACGAACACTAGTAACTGAGCAATGCTAACTATAGTAGAAACTACAAGTTTATACTACAATAGATTTTATTCTTAATTAGCTTCTATTTGTCTAAAATTAGTCTATATTTTGAAAAAGAGATGGAGAGGACATGAAAGGAAAGAAAAGGAAGTCAAAGATTCTGTGTACTATCCACTCCATTTTTCTTTCAGATGAACTGTATGCTCTCCAGTGAATATCAGCCTTCCTCATAATTACAGATAAATTTTCCTTTCCTGTTTTCCTTCAGGAGCTTGTGCAATTGATGAGCATCAGTGTGGTAGTGGGCAGTGTATACCATTGCATAACCTTTGTGACAATCTACCTCAGTGTGAAGATGGCTCAGATGAAGCAAAGTGTGGTAAGGCTTACTTCATACAAAGAAAAGGAATGCCTGCATATTTTATAGGAATTTCATGGAAAACAGTCACAGAACCTCAGCTAGCATAAACTACTGCAGCTGTATGAAGGACGTGTCAATTTACATAGTAGTATCTCATAGAGTTTGTCAGTGCCAAAAAAACAAAGTAACTTTTCTGAGATAGTGAATGTAGGCTGGTGGAGATCTCTGAGAAAGGTAGGAAGTTCCTCAGTGCTTAAAACTGTGGCTGCTTATAATGGTCTCAAAATTAAATGAAACTTTATTGCACATTTGGGTTTTTTTTCTGTATCCGTTTTGTATCCCTGAATTCTATCACTTTTTACTGTAATTAATTTGAGATTCAGAGGAGTATAAATTCTTCAGTGTAGGGTAGGCAATAAGAATTTTCTTGATGGAAATTCCCAGATAGTCTTGTAGGTGTGAAGCGAAACTGCAGCATGTGGCTCCCTCCGATCTGCCTGGACTCCATCTTGTGGTGGCATTGCTATAAGGTGATGGGATGGCACAGCACCCATTGCTCATAGTGGACGTGCACATTCCTACAAGGAGACGACAGATGCTATTACTTAGTCCTCTGGTAAAATGGTTCATTCTAAAATGCAGGTGTACAGTATATGGCTTCATCTCACATAACATTGAAATAGCATTCTGTAAACAATAATTTAAATGTAAAACTGATGTTAAATTCATGTTGAGCCTAGCATAGAAATTAAATTGCTGTTTCTGACAAAGAAGTGTTCTGACAGTCTATGATGGAGCAGTAATTGCAGAGTTAAAAGCAGGCTTATAAGCTTAGTACAATGTCATTTTCTTTTGTTTTAGAGGACTGCTAGGGATCAGATATGTTCTTTGATGTGTGCTGACAGTTCTCATTCATTTCCACATCTTTTACACACACACACACACACACACACACACATATATATGGCATAAATTAATATATGTATACATCATATATGCCCAAAGACACAAATTCTTTGTATTAATGCAATTAGTTATTTTATTGCAAACATGTTCTTCCTTTAAAACACCCAGAATAAAATTCATTACAGCTTCTTCTTAAGCAAAGAGGACTTGATTTTTTTCCCAACCATTGCTAAAGAAGATCTGAACAAGGTAACCATCACCTATGTTAACATGATGTACATTTTCTGAAAGATTTATTTTGCCACAGGTTGTCTAGCGCTTCATAACAAATTGCTTTACATTAAAGGAGTGGGAGAGTCATTTCCAAAAAAACATTTAATCCAAACATTAGCTGAATCAATCTAAGCCTTAAAATAAAATAAAAATTAAATTAGACATCCTCACATGGAGTCTTTTCAGTGTCCGAAAGTCTTGCTCATTTTCCTAAAACCAATTTCAGTTTCTTATCAGAAGTGGCAATTTGAACTAGACAAACTGTCATTTTCAAATACTCCAACTTCTGAAACTTCCCAGGGACTAAAAAGAAAAGGCATAGGATACCTCCTTCTTTGCAGAATTCTAAATTATATTTCATTTCAATTAAGCAGTTGTTGAGTGTTCAGTGACTCTCTCGTTCCTTAACAAACAATGTATTTGGAGAAGATCATGGATCTGATGAGGAGAAAAGAAAAATAATTATAGTTCAACTAGAAGGGAGGAGAGTTGTCAGAAGTATTTTGGAGAAGTCTCTCAGTGCAAGCGATTCTGAGATTTTTCAAGACTGCTTGAAAATTTCTCATAATTGAGGTTTTCCATTAATTAATCACTGTATATCACTTCTTTCACTCTTGCACTCAGAGTGTCAAAGAGATATTCCTAAAAATCTATTTTTTTCAACTATAATAGATACACTTTATTTATTTTGGTGGATAAAAATGTTTTCTGGACAGTTAAGATTAAAAAAAAGTAATTTGGTAACCAATACATTTCAAATGCATTGTGTGCTTTTCCCCACTTCATGCTGTCAATAGCAGTCATTTGCCTGAAATGCAGCTGTAGCTCCTGACACATCTATGGGATTCTGTTGACCTTCTTAAACTGTATGGTCCAACTTCCTTAGTCATGCTGATAGCATGAGATTTTTCACCAAATAGTTAATGAGTTTCTGAATTTTGTTCTGAATATTTTGTTTTGGAAAATGTTTTCTATAAGAAGATTGATTTTCGGGGAGCTTTATTATTTGTGTGTGTGTTTTAATTAAAGCTGCAATGAAAACAGTGAAAATTCTCATAGCAATTGGAACTGGCAGATCCATTTTTAGTGTCAGCTCTGGTTTTAACCTTATTTCCAATCAGTGTTACTGAGAATCTGTAGCTAAAGCTTCACATAGTATCTGGAAATTATATAATGCTGTCTAAGAAAAAACATCCGTTAGAGTTGATGGAAAATGTAATGTTTATTGTCTATTTGTGAGACATTTGAAAAATACAAGGTATGACATTCTCCTGTGGCAGAAACATAGGAGTTAACAGTAACATTTCCTTCCTATGGGAACACAACATCCTGGAGATGCTGGGTTTATTACCACTGTAATATATTTTAACTTTTTTTTTCATTCTTTGCTGGAAATAATAAATCTGTTTATATTACATTTCTCTTTGCCTGGGGTAGAGGAAGATGGTTTACCTCCTACCTAAAATGCTTATCTTCATTTTGGGCTACAGTGAGACTGCTTAATGGCTCTCTAAGCACCGAAGGGCTGGTACAGGCCAAGATTGGGAAGACGTGGCACCTGACATGTGCAGATGATTGGAATGAACAGATTTCAGACAGTGTTTGTCAGCTGCTGGGGTTAGGGTGAGTGAAAAATGTCCACTGTTCTTGTAATTTTTTTGTAGGTTTGTTGGGTCTGTATATTGGTGTTTTCCTCATCATTTTACTGATGTCTTTACCATCCAAAAAAAAAAGGGCAGATGTATTTTTCTGTGACTAGTGAAGCGCTTGGTGTGCCAACAAATTTGTAAATCTTGCAAAACCTGATTTGATGGCATTCATTACAGGGTTGATAACTGAAGATGGCAGATTAGGCATGAGAATTCATATTGGAGAACACTGGGACACTAATCTGGAGGTATTAGCCTTTTATCATTCTATGTCATCATTTATGTCTTCACTTTCTGAGGATCAGGAGTGAAGCTGGAGCAAACAGCAGCCTTGGCTGCTCTGCTAATGTTCATTTCAAGTAAATTCAAGATAATCACTTGGATATTCTGCTGTTGGGCTCCCAATAAATTTCGTGCCTATCATTAGACCTGAGCTGTGTGGAAATGAAACTGAATTTCTCTTGAGGTACACTTAGAGAGGGGAGGGAGGAGGGACATATTTCTGAAAAAACAGATTTTATTCAGTCAGTGTTCAGCAGAATTTCCAGGGAAAAGGTGGGCTGAGTGCAGAAGTGCTGTATTTTTCAATTTATGATAAAATTTATGTCCTAAGTTTTGGCCTTACTTACACCGTATGCAACTTCACTGCTTGCCATCCACTGAGTAATAAATAGCCACAGTGCTGAGGTTTTTAGGGAATGTCATTCATTCAGGTGATAATCAAATTAAATTTTAAGCTTGTAATAAATTATGTTGGTCTCTGACCAAAGTAGGATGCCTGTAATTGCCCTTCTGAGAAATTAATTGTTGAAATCACAGTTAGGAGGACTTAAAAAAATATCCAAGTGTTCTTTGAAAATATTTTTAACGATTGGATAAATTTTTTTACTTTTTTCCCTTTGGGTAGGTACTGCATTTACATAAATATCAGATACCTGCATGAACAAATCATTATTCTAATTAATGTATATATTTATCCCATTTACAAATGCATATAAGAACATATAAACTATGACTAAATGTTATTCTAGTCAAATACCTTGTCCTCTACAGTGGCCAGTAGTCATCTTCCTCTGATTGTTTATCCCACTTCCCTGTCTCCTTTCCCTCTATAAATTCTGGATATTAGTAATTTTGTGGTCTATTGGTTTAATTTACATTTTTATATTTGATAGGCTCCAGTGAACTTTGTCTTCCATGGCACTTTCTATTAACTTCTAAAAATTACTTATGCTGTTGTCTCCATAACATTCTGTGGCAATACGTTTCAGTTTGTCTCTATAAACTAGTCAGATATACTAGTTTAAAAAAGTCCTATTAAGTTTCTTAGTTACTTCTTTTTGGCTGCAGTTTATTATATATTCCCATTGTCAAGAAAAAGTATTTTTAAACCTAAGTTGCATCACATTCTCAGATCCTGGGTGCTAGTGCTATTACTGATCCTAAAAAATAGGATAAAATTCTTGATAATTTACGTATATGTAACTCCTGTAAGCATCATGCTATTTCAGTCTTTCATATTAGTTCTGTCTTTCATGAATTCCCTTGTAGCAGCATATTTGTTACCAAATGGCACCATATATGTTACTAAATGGATGTTTGTCATAACAGGTCTTGAGTAGGCTATAGCTTATGCTTCTATACTGAATAATTACCTAGAATCATGCCTTATTAGAGAAACAGGTTAAGGTTCATCTAAGACAATCTCTTTTTACTGCTAATTGCTTACATATATGCTAGTCTCATTTACTGTTTAATTTATGAAAAGAACTGAAATTATAGGAGTCCTGTAGCGTACCCTGATTATTCATGTAGCTGAGCTTGAAAGTGCAATGTTACACAGTTTCTAATAAATCACACATGTGAATCCTTTTGCTCCATTTTTCAAATATGTGACTGTCGCATTTGCGAAATGTGCCAAACAGGAAGCAAATCTGGAGGCACGTCTATATGTTCATCTACAAAATATAGCTTAGGCAAATCACTCACACATATCTTTAATGAGTCTGGAGTGCAAGGTGCATAATTTTATGCTCTTGAGAAACCTGAACAAGATTCTTTGCTCAGTTTGTCTTTGTAACTGTGTGCAACTGACAACACTGTTAAAATCTGAGTACTGTTAGCATTGCTTTTCCTTGACCCAACGAAATCATACATTGAGCATTTCACCACCATACTGGTCTTGTGTGAAACATTCTTGTTTCTCTGGGACCAGAACCATCTGGGTCTTTACTGAATTGTACCCAGGAATGGAGATAGATCTTGCAGTTTTGTCAACCCCAAATGTCCAACAAGGATTGAGAGTTTAGGACTTGCTCTCAGCTCTGAAGTCTATTTTCTTCATGAGCTCACAAATTCTTGAGAAGGAAATGAGTTAATCCGAATACAATGTCTTGTTTGAGATTTCCAGGTTAATTAGGTTTTTACCCTCCCCACTTATGAATGGTCAGTATTGGCTACATGCCTAGATCCTTGAGACACCTCAGAAAGTCCTGTCTTTCACTGTCACCAGGTACTCCAGTGTGCTGAGAATATACTGCCTGAAAGGGGTAAAATGATCCCCTAAGATTTATGCACAAAAGAAAAATATTCTGATGGATAAATTAGGATAATAGATAGACAGCATGATTTTATTGTGCTGCAGAGCCAATGAGAGTAATGTGGTGGACATAGGAAAGAACCTTATTCTCAGTGTGTTCGGGTTGTGTTTGCAACACTGAGGACCAGAATTAAGACAGTCCAAATAATTTGGTGATAGGATTAATTTCATCTAATAATGTGCACTTTGACCTGAAAGCCACAGGAGAAGTCTCAATGACTTTTTTGGGATTTGTAGGTCCCAGCTTCACTTGGGATAGGACTCTGCTATTAAGCTTAAAGGCTTAAACCCATTGCTTAAGAAACTTCATTTCAAATCTAAAAAGTTTAGAGAGGTTGCTTTTATTTATTGTTTGCACATTTTCATATAAAGAATTGTGTACATGCAACCATTAGAAAACAACAGGTCTTCATATGAATCTGCATGTGAAAAAAGCTTTATTATGCCCAGAAAGTGTTTGCTATTTGTAATTTGCTATTATTCTTCATTGTTTGTTTTTCTGTCAGAAAATCAACAGATGAAACAGAAACAGTGCCCTATGACTTACACACAAATTAAACTGCAAACATCCCACAACCTGAGAACTAAACAACGAGTTACAAAATGTGTGAAAATATTGTCTTCAAATAAGAAATGTGCTGGGTTTTTTTTTTAAACAGGGAAAAGTATTGTAGCTCTCACACTGCACTTCTATCCTTATTTCAATTTCTTTTTTCAGCATGGTACCACTTCATCTGAATCTTTTCCAATATTTACTACTGTTTATTGTTACTGAGCACATCTGAGACATAGCTAAAGACTGAAATGACAGTGATCCATACAGTATTTAGGTACCTGAGGACAAATAATATATAAGGAATTTACTGCACAGATATCTCTGTAGATCAGTGTGTAAGAAACATCTAAGACTATTCTCTAAATTTTCTGTAAGTTTTGTCTAGTGAGCCTGTTGAATGGAATGAGGGCTACTTAACACCTTGGTTAGCTTCTTAAAGGCCATTTTTGTCACAACGTGCAAGATTTCTGAAAGATCATTTTAATTAAGAGAAATTAAAGAGCTGTGACACTATATTTCTGGACCTGCAGAACAAACTATGTTATTGCTACTAAACTGAATATCTCCAGGAAAAGTGCATGATTTCTTATACTTACAGAAATACTTAACCCTCATCATTTACCAATAAATTAATGAAAAGAGTAGCGGATTTATTTTTATGATCACTCATAAAGCTTAGCGATTTCCAATTTTGTGTACTTCAGCTTACTAAGAAACCAAATTAAATCATCAAAGGTTTTCTCAAAAAAGGGCTTAGATTTTATTTCAAAAAGCTGGGGAAGCTTAATAAAGTTCCTGTGGTTACAGAGAAGCTCAGAGAAGTTCAAATTGTAATTCAGAAAATTCAGCATTTATTAAAAAAAAAAAGGCAAAAAAAAAAAAGAAAAAAAATTACAGGGTCCGTTACAATAATCTAGTAAAACACACGTGCTTTGAATTGAAGTTTCCTGGTATAATATGCCATGGAAATGGAAAACATAAGCCAGTAATACTCATAAATGTACATACTCTCAGCTTTTCCTGGTAGCATGTTAACTTTACATTGGTAAAAACTCCTGCTCACTAACCTTCTCAAGAAATAACTTAGTGCATTTTACACACAGTTGCACTTATCATAACTCAGTGATTAGACTGGTCTCATTGAAGTTTCTTGTAATAGAATTTGACCTTACCTACCTAGGTTGGCACTCCATACTCTCCTGTACTGTCTAAAAGCTCAGGTCAGGGTTCTGGGGGAAATCTTCAAAGTATCTATTAGTATACTAGTGTTTTATATTGGAAAAAATGTCTGTACACTAGGCTGTACATATATCTAGGGATAAAATTAAGTGGGCTTTTCCATTTCCAGGTTGAGAAACACTGGAGTAATTACTTTTTCAGTAGGGAAGGTCATACAGCTTTTCTGTCAGCACAGCAGGGATATTGAATGTCTCCTTTCTCTTATATCTAGTCTTATTCTTTATACACAGCAGATTTGCAGGTGGGTTCTAGACTTCATACTTACCAGGAGAATGAGATTTACTGCACTTGCAGAGAAGAAATTTAATTTCCTTGATGCACAGATGCTCCCTGTGTATTAAACCTGCACAAATGGTTCTCTTCTTGCCGTGAGACATGTAGGGGTAAAGAGTCAGGTGGGAGTAGACTGTTGCCATCCAAAAAAATATGTAATCTGACAACAGCTGCCTTTTCCCCCATGCTTCCTCAGGAGGAATAAATATGTTTCTTAGGCGTACGTTCCAAGCTGGTCATATGCAGTATCACAAAGTATATGATGCAGAATGTGCTATAAAGTAAATCTGGATATGGGTTGTAAGCATGAAAACATTTTATCTCACCAATAGTACACAGAATTCTTGGTGTGCATAAGGCCTTCATTACAAAAATGTGAGTTGAGTACACCCTACTTTTGCGGAACTATCCTGCTTAGTAGCAGACTTGACACATTTGCCTTATTCCACAAGGAGTTATTTTAATTTCAACAGATCTATGATGTGAAACTTAACTTCTAAGGAAGGTAGCATTTATTCCATTAGATACTTCATGATATAAAATATATATATTTCTTCTCTAGGCACAGAAGTATAGTATCAGTGTAATTACCCTTCCTCAATAAAGCAAAACTGCGGCTGAGGGAGCTGGGTCTCTTTAGTTTGCAGAAGAGGAGACTGAGGGGAGACCTCATTCATGTTTATAAATATTTAAAGGGTGAGTGTCACGAGGATGGAGTCAGGCTCTTCTCGGTGACAAACAATGATAGGACAAGAGGTAATGGGCACAAGCTGGAACACAGGAGGTTCCACTTAAATTTGAGAAGAAACTTCTTCTCAGTGAGGGTGACAGAGCACTGGAACAGGCTGCCCAGAGAGGTTGTGGAGTCTCCTTCTCTGGAGACATTCAAAACCCGCCTGGACGCCTTCCTGTACAACCTCATCTAGGTGTTCCTGCTCCGGCAGGGGGATTGGACTAGATGATCTTTTGAGGTCCCTTCCAATCCCTAACGTTCTGTGATTCTGTGATTCTGTGATTCTGTGATATTCCAAGATTCAGCTATTACTGTTCCATTTTGCATACTAAGTTTTAGATCCATATATTTAAGAACTAGTACTGCAAACACTTGGTTGTGTCACAGAAAAGTAGAAATTGACAACTTACTGCTATTAAAATAATTAATTTCTGTCACTTTCAATACTATTATAGCATTAGAAATCTTAGAATAAGATGTGAAAGTAGGTGAGTCGCATTTTAATACATGTGAGTTTCAAGCCTCAAAAATCTCCTGATTAATAGTCATTATTTCAGGAAAAAAATCATGCAGTTTATTCCACCAGTGTAATCATTTCCCAAATATTCCTCCACTAGTTGAACAGAATAAATATCTAAAAACATGCATGTGTGTCTTTCCCTGCCAGGGATGCAAATATGACATCAACTGTGTTATTCACTGGAGATGGCCCATTCGTCAGCATCACCAAAACAGCTAACAACAGTCTAATATTTACAAAAAGGTGGGTGGAGTGAGGAATATTCCTCATACAAAGAATAACTTAAAGTATGGTGGTGATCATTTATACACTAATTTCTAGCTCAAGTTTATCTGGGAGGTAACATGATTCTGTATGATGTCTGGATTTTAAACATATCTAAGTTTTTTCCTCTGTCTATTGCTGAATTCTGTATAACACACTCTCCCCTCTTCCATTTTTGTCCTATTGTAAATTTAAAAGAAGACAGATGCTTGCTACATTTTTAGTTAGCATTCAGGACAATCTTAAATGAAGTCTTTATACATTTACCATGGAAATGATAAATACTGCTATTTTTACAAAACATTTATCTAGAAATCTCGAAATTATGAATATATAGTATAGTAGAAGAATTAAAATGGAGTAGTTATATAATAGCCACCACGCTAGGTTCTCTCTGCAATCAATAGAGAAAATTAAGCACTCTAAATTGCAATCCACCAAGACATCTCTTGAAATATGACGAGTCACACTATAATCCATTCACTTTATTAGTGCAGATTTAGGACTAAGTATGAATCTCTAAGGTAAGCAAACCACAGCCAGGTATCTATATTTAGACAAATTACTCCAACTCAAAAATGACTTCTGGATCTGTTTCCACATTTAGAAGTGAATCATTAGATCATTAGATGATCCTATGAATACATTTGATTATATTCTAATCTTTCTCAGTCCAAGTAACAGCTGAACTGATTCTGAAGGGTCTTACAAACTTCAAGAGTTTCTTGTATTTAAATGAAAATGTAACGTTAGCACAGGATTATGTTCTCAGGGAATTCTGGGATTTACAGTACACCTCCAAAAGGAGAAAGGCTTGCCATAATAAAATAACAAAAATATATAATGACTTCAATTACTCTCTTTCTACTTATAAGAAGGCTTATTATACACGTTTTCCTGGAATCCTACCAAAAGCACGGAGGCAGAAAACTACTAATTGCTAAAATGCTGAAACCATGTTGAGGATGGCAAAAGTCCATGTTCTTTCAGGTTTCCTTTATAAACATACCACACAGTAACAAAGCAGGAGAGAATTCTTAATTTGTTATGCTGTATTTTATCTACAGTAAAAAAAATGATTTTTTTAAAAAGATACATTTTTTGTTCTAATTACACTCTGTAATCCCAAACATTTATCAGTCTCTCTGGTGGTGAAAATATCTTAGACTAATGGAATACCACTGCAAGCTATTTTTTCTTTATTTCTTGAGTGTATGTCTATACCAGCATGGCCACAAGAGATCTTAAAAAGCAGTAGTGATTTAAAGATGTATTCTGTTAACATCTATTAAAAACTAAAACATGATTAATGCAGGAGGAAATGGAATAAGTTCATTCATCTTGTATTTCTGCTACAGTAATAGGTATCTTGTACCATGTTTCATCTGGACAGCTCATAGGAGTCATTTAACATGGTGACACTATTACAGATTTGCATACCTTTTTGTACATATAATGAATAATAGAAAGATCACACAGATTTTATTTAAAAAAAACAAAACAAAACAAAACAAACCTCCACAAAAAAGGACAAATAAAATTCATTAGCTAGTAATCAAATTATAAAACGTATTCCTCACATTGCCTTTGGTCTTTACTCAAGCATAACTACCACTGCAGCAAAGGTGGGACTTGAAAGCTATGGTGGCAGAGACAGCAAAAATGTTCTCTGATGCTCTTAGGTAATGTATTTCTTAGCAGGATAGGTTTGTAAACATGGCAAAATCCTGCCTTTAAGATATATGTGAACGGATTCCAGAGGCATGATTGTTTTCGCAGTGTTAAATGAAGATCATACTCACAGATATCCCAACTACTCCAAATTTTTGTCCAGCATGCTGCTTCATAGAGGATACTCAGAGAGGAACATAGGATGGGTATTCAGCAAATGCAATGCCTCTGTTGCCTTTTGGACTCTACTGGCTGACCAAGAGGCAGTTAAGGACTGGTAAACTGAAGTGCAGACAATGAAGTGGTTTTCATACTGTGAGATAGTTTCAGAAAGAAGAAAAAGCAGAGAACTATGAAGTAATTTCTACTAAAGTGATCAGTAGGTACTGGTGGCAGGACAAAGATCCTTGCTACATGTGACTCGCTGCGTCAATGTAAAAACAATAGAGACAAATCTGATGTTGGATGTTAGTTTGGCTAGTTTATACACCTACCTAAGAGAAAGCACAGGACCAGATAAAGGAGGTAATATACAGTACCACTGACCACCCTTTTAAAGACTATGAAGGGAGCTTAGTCAAGAGTATTTAGTTGCTATGAAGTTTATGCAGAAGATAGTATTGATTTCCTGTGAGTTTATGCATTTCTGGTTGTCCTCCTTGATGCTTGTCTCACTACCAAGGGACACCCTTATAACATCAAGAAAGATTTGAATACAAATTACAGAATTTTGTTTCCACTTTCTAAATAACTTCTAAAATTATGTGTCTATCTTGAAGTGGAAAATGGCTATTTGAGACTATTCAGTGCTACACGTTACAGTTCATACTTGCCCTTCTGGCACCACTAGGCCATTGCAAAAATTCTGGGTGTTGTCATGCACTATTTCCCTCACAACAGATATCAAATTTTAGAGCAAACATAGTGAGGGAAATGTAATACCATATCACTTTTAAAGAATCCTTCCTTTTTCCTAATTAAAAGTGATGTGGAAATGCATACTGTAAACTAGCCATTGGCAGACTTTTTCTTTTCTGATATATTTCTGTGTGTATCAGATTTAAATTGCTAGCACACACACTGTCCCAAGTGCTCAGATTCATTACAAGCTATGAAGATAGTCTTAAAACTGGGTATCAGAAATGCTTGAGTAGTTTTGATCTGTGGTCTTGCTGCCTTTATATCTCTGCTAAATAATTTCTAACCCTGTATATGCAGGTATATATTTTACAGTGCATTATAATCTTAGTAAAAAGATACAGTGATATCAAACTAACCTCTTAAATTCTTTGGTCACACTGATCTCTAGTGGTAAGACATTGAAAACATCTCAAAATCTAGAAAAAAAATACCATATGCTGTTACCATTTTATTGAGAATCTGTCATAGACAGATGACTCATTTCCCTAATAGACATGGGGAGTCTACTTTTATTTCCATAACATACACCGATTAAGTATTCCTTGAAGAGGAATATGTACATTTAATGTTATATATAATATAATGTTGTATATTTATAATTAGACTATCATTACAACATGTATGAAAAAATACTATTTTTTTTATACTGGTAAATTAATGTACTCATATATATAAGTATATATATGCTTATGTACATTTACATATATATGTGTGTATGTGTGTATATTTGACAGTCATTTAGTGTTATCTGGTGTGCAGATACTTGTGATTTAATTGCACTTTCATTCTAGAGAACACTGTTTGAACAACCTGGTGGTTCATCTAGAGTGCAAAATTAAACGTAAGTATACATACTTTGGGAATATTTTGCACAGAAATCAAATTGTTCAGTCCATAAAGCCTAATGTTTATAGTTTGAATTGAAAAGTTAGGGAATGGGCTATAAAACTATACTTATAAAGATATAAACACAGGAAAATTTACAGTCTTCACTTGTTTTTAGAGATAAGTATGCACTAGAGATGAATCTATACTCAGAACACACATATAAAAAATCCAGAAGGTGTGAGAAAAGAACACATCTAAATTGAAGCTATAAAGTTGCATCTTGATTTCTGCTATAAAAATCAAACTTTTTTCCATAGTAATAGTTTTTCTGAATAACAGTTCAGATACTACAAAGCGTATTTTTCCAAGAATATTAGCTAGTCTAATGAAACATATATGCCCCTTTACAAATATTTTATTTTTTAAAAAAATTTTATTTTAGCTTGTGGAAAACATCTGGTAACTCAGAACAACAGAACAAAGATTGTAGGTGGAAGTGATGCCAGAAGAGAGGCTTGGCCTTGGATAGTTTCACTCCATTTTAATTCCAGACCTTTTTGTGGAGCTTCCATTGTCAGTGATGAATGGCTGGTGACAGCAGCACACTGTGTATATGGGTAAGTTTCACTGGACTCAGAAGCCAACACCTTCTGATACTCCCACAACACACAAGTATACAACTGGTGGATAGTTGTCAGTAAAAAATGGATTGAAGTATGACCTGAGCCATCGATCAGTCCTGCATAAAGAAAAACACACTTTCAAAGATCATACTGAAATCACTGGGGAGCAGCAGTCTTTAGAGGGTTTCTAGATGTTTACTTTAGAATGAAATTGATATAAATTCACAAGTGACTCCTTCTCTGCACTGACTCCAGGGCATCTTTCCAACTAGCTGAGATGGCCATATGACATCTATGCCATGTCTTTTCTTTTTTGTATTTTAATGATGATGAAACACTTGGTTTATGTGCAGGTTCACTAAAAAGGCACCAGATTATGAATAATTTGTGACACTGATATAAAAAATTAACAACTAGCTCGCTGTTTTAATTATTGTGTTTTGAATCACTATTAGGCTCAGCTAAAGGCTCATTTTACTTCCTGATAAGCCCTCAGTCCCTACTTTAAATTAAGAATCATGGAAAGTAAGCAGCATTTTCTGAACAGTGAAGGATTGCACTACAAAGATCTGGTATTAATACTTAGCATTTGCACCTAACACGTAAGTAATGGGGGCCTCCATTAATTAGTTGAATCTCTGCTAATGGTATAAAGGATGACATCATACCTCATACACGTAAACTCAGTGTTGCCTGTTCCTCTTGTATATTATCATAGATTGATCAAGACTTATTGTGCATCATTTGAATGAATCTCAATTTATGTGCATTGTTTTATGTGCATTGAATATCCTCTAGATGGTGTTAGTTATACCATTCAAAGAAGCGATGCATATTTAAATATTTTAGGAAATATTTAAATATAGGTTTGCTTCTTTAACATCTATAATAAAAACAAGTGCTGTAAAAGACACCTAGAAACTGAAATGGTGAAAGAAAGAAACATGAATATGCAAAATTACAGTAGAGCTTTCATTATAAGTAGTTAAGTAGTAAGGCAGTGGTAATTATACCAATATAGTAGTGCTGCCTCATTGCACGACAGGAGCTGTATTCCACACAAAGACACTAAAATGAGAAGGATCAAGCCCTCTTAGTTTTCACACAATAAATTCACACCTGTCTTGGTACTTCCTTGTCACTTATATCACCTTTCTACTTTCACTTAAATCTCATTTTATCATCTTGACTTTGCTGGAATTTTCCTAAGTAGGATCTGCAAGTTTCGCACCTTAATTTTGAACATTTAACTTCAATGCTCCTAGTTTAGAACAAGATAACCTCTTGATGTCAAAGCAAAAGATCAGCAGAAATCAATTCAGTGCAACAATTAGTCTGAAAATATATTTTTTAAACTGTGAACTGGTTGATTAAAAAATAGAAAATAATTAAGTTCTCTAACTTAAATACAGCCTCAAACCAGCATGCATAGCTCAGCAAAAAATGCTTATGATATCGTATTTTGTCTTAGCATACTTTTTTGATTTAAATTAAAAAAATTAGAGACGAATTTTCTGAGTCTATGAGCTGCAGTGTTTCCAATGAAATTTTTACCTATTATTCGTTAGATAGTCCATAATAATTTTCTAACGGGGACCAATATTAATTGCCTGGTGAGCAGTCAGCAGTATTCTTCACAGTGTTTAAAAAGCCACAGTAATTTAGTTAATGTCTTTTCCTCCTCTACACTGTCTGATTAATTATTTGTCAATAATGCATTATAAGCTTAACATTAAAAATCAACCACATATTTCTGCAGTGTGGATGTTTAAGATAGTATTACTATCACAGAACTGTAAGCACATCCACTACATTCTATTTATTTTGACAAAATGTGCAAATGCTATGAATTACCATGAAGTTATTTTACCTAACATATTTTTCAAAACTTTCATTAATCATTCATAATTGTGGATATTCCTTGCAACTTCTAGGAGACAATTAAAACCATCTCAATGGAAAGCAGTTCTTGGCTTGTATGACCAATCAGATATGACACAGCCTTCAACAGTAGTACGAAACATTGATCAAATAGTTATAAATCCTCATTATATGAAGCATAAAAAAGATGGTGATATTGCTCTCATGCACCTTCAATACCATGTGCAATATACAGGTAAGTTGTTTTTGTCCTATAAAACAGATTTACTCTATGATGCAAAACTCTAACTGTGCTAAGTACATGAGGGTGATGGGGTGGCTATACATTTTTTACAACCTCATCATTCTGGAGTTAGTTCAGTACTTCCTGGATATCTTTCCCAAAAAGTGGGTTTGAATTACTGAATATTTTCTTATGTGACTTCATAAAAACCTGAATACAGGGAAGAAGTTGAAAGTTATTGCTTGTTTCTCATTCACAGATTACATACAACCTATCTGCTTACCAGAAAAAAATCAACAGTTTTTACCAGGAATTAACTGCTCCATTGCTGGCTGGGGTAGTATTTTGAATGAAGGTGGGTCAACTGCTTGGAAAATTATGATAGGCATGAAGCCATGAGGGAAAGCTTGCTCCCGATTCCACAGCAGTTTCAAAGGTTAAATAGTTTAGAGAGGTACTCCTCCATATGAAAATCTGGGAACCATCTCCCTCCACTCTTCCTTCTCTGAAGCAAAATAATAGAGATCTATTTATTACCAAAAAAATACATATCTAAGAACATTAAATAGTGAAAAAAACTTCATCCCCTTAGAAGTTATGATGACTACTTTTCTCAATATGAAATATGTACATCTTATTTCCAGATATTGGGGAGGAGAGGAAGATTAGTCTTTCTGACAATGTGCAAATTATTTTTCCCATAAGTCAAGCATACTAACTGCAGTACGAAATGTATATTCTGTTTGTATATCACATGCTCCAGACTTGGAGCCTCTGTGAAATAATAAAGATGCCATTTCACTTCCACAGTTGCTTGTACACATTTGCTTCTACATTTTCAGAATAAAATTGCATTTAAAATTTTGGGTAGGAATTAGTAACAGAAATTTTTATAAAAACTTGAAATAGTCAATCAAAGTTACATAATGAATAGTGAGGAAACATTGGAGAATTCAAGCTCCTAAGCCCTTAATTATCCCTTAGATCTCCCCACAGTGAGTTCATAGTCATTGATTTTAGTAATCTTGATTTAATTATAACCAAATTCAGTCCCATTACACAAATGAGCAACAAGATTCAGTTAATGAGCACCATTTAATCAGTGATTGTGTTACAGGGCTATAAGCCTGAATAATACAGCAGCGAGGCAGGGCTTCCTGCTGCTCGGTAGTGTGCCCAGCATGCTGGAATAGGAACGAAATCATTGCTGTTCCAAGCGCGATACATGTATTTATTAGAGTGGGTAAACATATTTTGTATTTTCATCAGGTCCCACTTCATATATATTGCAAGAAGCAGAAGTTCCTCTCATTTCAAATGAAAAATGCCAACAACAGATGCCAGAATATAGTATTACTGAGAATATGATGTGTGCAGGATATGACATAGGAGGAATAGATTCCTGTCAGGTAAATACAAGTGACTCATTTCCACTGCTAGCATACACATCTAATTACTGAATAAAATGCTCTCTCTGATCCTCCAATCATTAAAACCAAGACAATTAATGCCCTGTCCATTAATGTAATTTCTAATCACAGTATTTTGCCCTTTTAATACTTCATCAGGATAGAAGCTGAAAAGATAAAAACCTACTTTGTATCATCTTGACATATACAACCATGAAGGGAGATAAATATGAGGACTGGAATTTTTCTGCACTAAGCTTTGAATAATTACTGCTGAGTAATTTCACAAAAGAAAGAGGGATATGCTTAGGAAAAAGCAGAATACAGAAAAATAAATACCAAATAGATTGAAGTCTCAGAAATGCTTCATGCAGGG